AAAAAACTTGCATCAATCAAGTACCTTCTCCTTTAGTAGTGACAATTCTTAAACAAAATGAAAATAATATAAAAGCTTTACAGTGCATTAATATGTTACTTACAAATAAGGCGCCAGATAATACAGTTCTTCTAAAAATGGGATGTATATGTACGATAAATAAAATGTATGTTGAAAATAACAAAATCAAACTTGAAGGCGATGTTTGTATAATAAAAAAACTGTTTACACAAATCCAATAAATTCATCTGTTTTAAACATGTGGGAATTATTAGAATCTCGTTTTGATGCAGTAAGAAGAAAAACTATGACCATACATAATATCGCACATAAAATGATTAAATTGAAATTAAATTCTTAATGGAACTAATGAAAGAACATTTGCTATATCTCTTTTACACTAGATTGAATCTTTGTATGGAAAAACTGAATAGTTTTGTGAAGACAAAAAGCATAAGTAAATCATAATACTTGTTGGTACATTTATTTTATTTATTTTTTCCTTTATTAAATACATCGATTATAGTTTTACACGCGGTAATCAACGAAACCTTTGGGATTACGATTGTAATTGTCCAAATTTATTTCACAAATTTATTACATTATTCTAACATAATCTAATAAGTGCAACCCTGACTCCCTCAAGCCCGACGCGACTGTGTATGTGTATACAGCTCCGCACACAATGATATAAGATACAACAATGCATGGATCACAGATGCGAAAATAGTTTTAAATAGTAATAGTAATAGTTAAGTAATAGTAATAGTTTAGTAATAGTAATAGTAATAGTTTTAAATAGTCTTTCTGCCGTGGCTACAGTACAAAACACGGAACGACATCAATTGGTGAAACCGTAAAACTGATCAATTGCCAAATGTTTCTTATATATTTACATCCTTCGTTACTTTGTTTTTCATAAGCCCGTGTGATGCGCGTGACCGTGTGCTTTTTATTCTGCACATATTATCATTTCTTTTATATTAATTAACAAACAAGTCAAACGGGTGAAACAATTTTGTGTAATAACTATCAACGATATTATTCTTTGAAGACCGAAATATCGTGGAAACTGAAGGTAAGTTATTTGCACAATTTTTTATTTCATCAAAGTTAGTCTCAATATTCGGTCAAGTTTGCATTAAGATCAGAATTCATAGTTGAATGTTAATAAATAAGGCGTTCTTTATTTCTATACATAACAATAGGAATAAGTATCTCAAGGCTTGAATATTTTTTCCGTTGTTTAGATGAGTGAGGACGAAGACTATTTGCACAAATATCAGTTAGTACAATTTATAAGGAAAGGTCCAAAGTCTGGAAAAAAAGAAATTGACGTGGTACCGTCGAAATGGATCTCATGGGACCAAAAGCGACTTAAACTCACGACAAAATTTATGCCAGGACCGTACGATGAAAATACTTCGAAACTTTTACAGGATTTTGTAAATCATTGTTTTGATGCACCAGAATCTTGGCCTACTTATACGGTTAAGATCGTTGGCGAAGCAAGTAAGTAATTAAATTAATATAATTAATATATAATAATAAATTAATATAAAAATAAATAATAAATAAATTAATAATAAATTAATATAATAAATAATGTATACATATGTACATATGTATACATATATACATGTAATGTATACATGTATATATATAATTTTAATGTCCTTTAATTAAAGCAATTTGTTATGCATTCTAGAGCAATACGATGAAGCTTTAATGAAACTGGACGAACTTTCAGCCCAGGAGTTTGTTTTTTCTTTGCCTTCTGACGAGGATCCAAAAGAAAAATCAGAAGCAAAAAAAGAATTTTATAAAAAGAAAGCATTGAATGACAGTGCAGCATTCGTATCAAAGTTTATGACGTCTGACAAAACTCAAATTCTTTTAACTCAGTCTCAGGTAAATTACAATTATAACGCATGATAACTATATAATAAGAAATAAATATCAAAATTATTATCCAACAATCTTTCGAATTAATAAAAATTGATCTGTTCTACTTTTTGTTTCTTTTCAGAGCCAAATAAAACATTAAAACGTCTTAAAAAAACAAATACGAAAAAACAAAATAAGGGTCTAAATACAGGATCTTCAAGGATAGTGCAGATGCCCCAATTACCCATTGGTTTGTAAATTTATGTTATTTTTTAATACTTTATATAAAATGATTTCTATAAATTTTTGTGTAACTATTGCAATTTTTAATAATTTGTAATAATTTTAATAATTATATAAAATCATGATTATTACTATTTTCCAGATAAGAAGATTATTCTTCAGCGTGAGGATACTTTGAGTATGGATTTAAAAGATAAAAGCCAATCGATAGTTGTAATGGATAAGGACATTCCTGTTTTAACGCTTAATTCACAAAGTAACTATTGGAATATTTGAAATTTAACATAAATATTTGTATTTTTAATGTTATTATAAAAATCTTAAATTTCAGATTCGCATGGAGTAGAATGTGAAAACCCAATCAACTTTACCACACTTAGTGAAGAAAGTATGTTTGAACATCCAAAATTAATTATTTTTATGCAATTGTTACATATAATTTATTATTATTATTATTATAAATATTGTTATTTATTTCAGAAGCCGATTTAATACTTGTAAAGTTAGAACAAATCAGATATGAAATTCGGAATTTAAAAGCTATAGTCATGTATAATGAAGCAACGAAAACTACTGATAATAATTATTATACAGCAGAGTCAACTGGATTTTTGAAAACATATAATATTAAATTTCCACTAGAAACAAATGATCAATTCAACGCATTTAATACTCAGTTGAATACTGACCGTAATTTAAAACAAAGTTTTGTGAGTACTACAAACGCATATACACATACATACTAGCATACAACAGCATCTATATCTGTTTGATGTTTATCCTATAATTTATAAATAATTCTGTTTTAGTGTGAATTCATTCATCGTTATCTCGATTTCAGCAGATCTTTAAGCCGAAATATATTGCATATTATAAAACATTGTATTGCAAGAAATGTTGCAATAATGTACACAGCGGTAAAAAATATTCCACACAAATACGTTTTCAAGAGCACAGAATTTTACTCATGTATAGAAGGTATTGACATACAGGGTGTCCAATAACTCGCGGACCAATTCTCGTGAACAGATAGAGCACAATAAACTGAACAGAAAAGTTTTTTATCATTTTTGAATTCTTACAATAATTATTGAAATATTAATTAAAAAGATTGACGAATAAGCGCGCGATTCGCGCAAAATGGTAAAGAACTTTTTTGTTCAGTTTATTGTGCTTTATCTATTCACGAGCGTTGGTCTGCAAGTTACCGGACACCTGTATACATATATAATTTATTTAATTAATTATTAAATTTTAACTTATTAAACTCTATTTAATTGCATCGATATTTTTTTCTAGAAGTTTATTTGAAACAAACTTTGACTGGGGAAACAGTAACTCATGCTCTTTTAATCAAGGCCATCAGTGTCGTCCTTACCAATGCTAAGGATTGGGAAGGTTACCGAAAGTCACGGACAAAATCAGCAACAATTATTAATCAAGTATCATCAGATAATCAGTCACAAGAATCTGGGTCTATTTATTCTGATGAATCGAATAATGTTGAAAATTTATTTTGAATTTAAATATGCCTATTTTTTTTTATTTCTGTAGTTTTATAATTTCATTTTTTCAACATATTTTTTCAAATATATATATAATATTATTTAATTGTATTTCGTATATAGAAATAAACAACACATTTTATGTAACGCATTAAGCTTATAAATAATTGACAGTAAACAAATAAATAAACATATACAAATTTTTTTTAGATATTTTATATATTAATTGATATGTGTGTATGTATTCGTGTATGTATATGTGTGCGTGCGTGTGTGTACATACACTAACACACCCACATAAATATACACGCGCACATGTACACACGTATAATGTAATTTTAATCGGAACCTTATTAAAATTACCATGGCTCTACCTTTCATAAACCTACCTAGGGCCATGATAAATTTAGTAAGGGTCCGTTTAGAACAAACACGGTCTAAGTGGCAGCCTAGATAGTGCCAATCCACAGCCCCAGTCGCCCCAGTATTGCGGTGAATCTGTGGCGCTAGCACAGCCATTTATGACGATTTCGTATGTGGCCCCGACTAATTTGCCAGTATCACGCCCGAGTTGATGACTGGCGAGCTAGTCGGGGCCATAATAAGGCCTAGAGTGAATTTCTACCAGGGTATTATTAAATAAAATTTGCAATATCAATAATCAAAAGCAAAATAATCAAACAAAAATCTTGATTACTAATTTGCCAACAATTTGAAAAAAATATATCGCAAATACAACAATTTAATACATTAATCTAAAGTTATCTTAAGTAAAATTATCTAAAAATCGCGTTCATTAATCTTCAATTTAACAGTAAACAAATTTGCTTCTCACGTATAATAACGAAATTTTTAATGAATCAATGCGAACGATTTTAATATCACGACGGAAAAAGAGGATGCGCCATCGTGTGAAAATATCCGAATTGATATCTGTTATTCCGGCTCATCAAATAAAAACCGTCTCTGTCTGCGACGCGGTCGACGGTCGACGGTTTCTATACGTGTAAATTAATACGGCGCTATTTATACATTGAAGCCCGCGAGGTTGATCGATAGTTCGCGAGCTGGAAGGGTCCAACGAGAAATTGAACCGCGCCTTTGTTGGCGAACAGAAGCCAACCTCCTCCAGACAAATCGAAAATCCGATGCTAATAGCGATCTCTGATTGTTCTCTACGTTTAATTTCACTTCGCAGCTTCGCCCCGTCTTTCTTCGATATCTCTAGCACGGCCGTTGACTACTCCAATTTATTGCCGCAGTACCAATTGCTTTCTGTCTACGTTTCCGCCATTTAGTCGATCATACAAAAACAATTCGCAGTTAATAAGCTTATAATGTATTGAACTTTATTCACTTATTGTTCTTTTTAATTGGTAAATGCCTCAACGCTTAAGAATCAATCAACATAATAAAAAATATATGCAAAAATAAGCTAATACAGCATTATCAAACATCACAATTTGGCATAGCAACGTGTGTTCTAAAATATTATTTAATAAAAATGACCAAAAATACATTCTATTGTTCTATGAAAAAATATACACATTAAGAATGATATCTGAACGTAAAAAGCACATTCAATTCTTGTGTATTTTTTTTAAGCTTTATCAGTAACATTTCTAATATATATTCTCGTGTTTCGAAATTAATGACTTTTAATCTCATTGACGCTTCGACTTTCGAGACTTGTTCTATATACACATCGTTTTACACATGTTCTACACATCGATCCATTATCAGCGATCCCCCAGTTAAGAGAAAGACGACTGTATATTTACCAACTATAACCTCAAGCGATGATAGAGCGTGACTGTCGTCGATCTATCGTCATTGTCATCATGCTATTCGATGCATTATTTGCGAGAATATTAGTCTCTCGCTTCCTTTAATCGACCTTATCGATCACAAACGCTTCCTTGCTTCACGAACAACACCATTAAACACGCACCAAATCTCCGTCTAAATCCACACCAAACGATCGCTCGAACGATCGTGAGTGACGTTCTGCCGCGCGATATTCGCGGAAGTCGGAAGTAAAACGATCGCGAGTAGATCGCAAGAACGATCGCGACTCGAGTGGAACAACGTCAGGAGTGTCGAGCGACGGGATGAGGAAACGTGCGTCCTACGTGCGACGGAGCGGGAAGGACTTTCGTCCAGGACGGGTTCGATGCGCGCACTGGGGATGAGAGAGAACCCAGGGAGCAACCCGGCGGGAGAAAGCGGGAGGTTTCATGCAGAAGCGAGAGAGGGTTCCGGAAAGAGATAGCGCGCCGACCCCGCCAAGTGGAGAAAGCGAGAGCGAGGGCGGCCAAACGGCGCAAGCTTAAGCTCGAGCTACTGGGCTTCGAAATACGCATATCAGCCGTCGTGTATGCAATCGTTAACTGTGAGCGTGTCCCAAACATAGTTTTGTAACTACGTTTCTCCATCGCGAGAAAAAATTTGCTCCATCGACATTGCGCATGCATTTTCTCTCACTGCGGAATCATGCAGTTTGCGGTTACGTATCAATATTAATATTATGGGTAGAATTTGAATATTTTATGCTAGGTAAGACAAAATTTTTTCAAATTTTACCTAATAAGAGTTTTCGTTAATAAAAGAAAAATACGATAAAAAAATTATATCGAAAATAAAAGACTATTTTTAATAAGAGTCAGAAAAATTTCAAACATCTGATTTCAATATTTTTACATTAAAATGTATTTTTTATTCTAATTTCAAAAAAGTAATATTAATAAAATAAAATATTTCTAATGCTTTGTTTTAATACTTTAGTTCGCTCCAAAATAGTACAAAATACCACGAGCAATAAAAACAAATCGCAGAAAATTAATACTAATTATTCCTAAATAAAGACACTCGTATTACATTGGTATTACGATCGTAAGACAGGATTTCAAGTGTCGAGAAATCCAATCAACTATACCGGTTCATCTGTCAACCGAGACATGTCCTCTCATACGGAATATCGCATAATCCTCTTATCAGCGCAACGTGCGAGCTCGATACTTCCTATTCGTACAGGATCGCGTGCAACACGCGAATCTACTCCACCGCAACCGCGTCGATTACAGGTGAACTGAAACACGTCGTCCCTCACACGTTACGTTACGGTACGAACTTTTCGGATGTCTGCGAGAGACAGATCAAGGTCAAGGTCGTCCTTTCAGAATGGAGGAGTAATCGGTGCGCGCCGACATAATTTACGAGCGTTTCGTCGCCCCCGCGTTTCTCGTCCCCGACATTACTTATCGACTATCGTAGTCCCGAAGTTCCTAAAATCAGATTCGTGTCCCTCACCTTACCCTTCACGGACCTTTCGAGATTCCGAAGGATGGAATACGGGAGCGTCTTGAATTTATAATGGGATCTGCGGATGCCGAGAAAAAAAAAAGGCGCGAGCGACAGCTGGATTTCGCAGGAATAATAATATCGACTGTGAACGAACTTAAATCGCGCAGTGGTAGGTTCTCCCCTTAGTCCTTTCGCGTGTTGACAAAAGCTACCAATAAATTACGGACATTCTCCAAACTCCATTCTTCCCGCTCGCCGAATTCAGCGAAATAGGTATTTCGTCATTAGCGAGCTCTTTTGTTCTATTTCCGGAATTTCCGGCAGATTCGAGGGCAGATATTTGAAGAAAACTTCAATAAAATCTCTAATTTCACGTTCCTTATTGAACAATCCAATTTACCGCGCGAATATTTGACTGTTCGTCCTTTCGAATATTCTTTTCATGATCCACTGAACCATTAAGAAAAACGCGCAAGATGAAAGATTTTATTAGGAATTTCTTCAAAGGTTTTTCCTCGGATATCCTTCTTGTAAATCAATAATTCGTTCTCGCTGAACGCAAAATCGAAAATCTTGATTGAATATCTTCGAGATTCATTTCTTACAATTATTCTCGCAACCTATCATAATTTTTATTAATAAATGTAAGATTGACGGGTTTTAAACATATATCCAAAAATTACTCTCCAAGTATCAATGTATATACTATTCATATAACCGATGAGTAATAAACGCGGAATTAAAGATTTAATTAGAGATATGTTCGAAGATTTATTATCAGACATTTTTATCACAAATCATCGGATAGTTCAGTAAGGAAAGCGGAATCATGCTATTGATTAAACAATAATATTACTGCAATATATTAACACTCACCGGTATCGCCGTTACTTTGCATCTTGGTTTGCTCGTTATTTGCAGTCTTCGTTACAAAAGTCTTTGTATCCTGTTCAGCTAAAAAAAAAATCACAAATATTACCTGTATATTCAAAAATTAAAAAATTCGAATAATTATATTATCAGAAAATATAAAAAAATTAATATTTTTTTAAGTAAGTTTACAACTTTGGAATAAATCTAATAAAAAACATATCTTACAGGTTAAACAATAATTTAGCGCGCAAAAGAAATTATATGCATTCACAAATAAGATCTTTAACGATGGTTTATTTGATATGGTAATTAATGTAGCTATAAAATATAGAAATTTACATATAAATTTAAAATATGGCTCTTACAAGCTTAATTAAAATTATGTAAATATTTATGTAATTATTATTATATTTCAAGTATAATGCAAAATTTATACATCAATTCAACTTTGTTAATGTTCAGAACTTCAGGTAGAACGATCTTATTTAGTGTGATTTTTCTGAAAAATTAATTTTACACAGCGTCCTCTGTGAAGAATTGCACGTATTATAAAAGTAAGAGAATATGAACAATCTTAATACTAAAACTCTTTAAACATTTATATTTGCAATATTATTGTATTCTTCATAATTAAAATTTTTGAACACAAGAATATTTTGTGTCTGATATTTCATATAATATGTGTTACCATCATATCGGTTGGCAACTGCAATCATGATAATATCAACTGCCACATAATCCTTGTAATATGTAAACATATATTTACAAAAAATCAGTATACAATAATTAATATGCTTATAATTTTAATCAACTAAATATAAAATCTTCAAATGTCAATAAACTTTCTTTGCAAATTCTATCCAATGACGGTAATTGCTTGAAATTTACATGTACAAAAATCTTCCTTTACTATAATGTAAACAATAGCCAATATTTTATAAACCATGTTATCAAAATTTGCAATAAAAATATAAATTTCAGTACACAATCAGAGTTTGCGATAATCGCCACGCGATAACGCTTGAGAAAGTGCAAAAATACCAATGTCAAAATAAAGGAAGACGATGGCGCAAAAAGTGCAACAAAACGTCGAGAGAAACTCGTTACATTTTTTACAGTGGAACGTACATCTTTCCCGTCTGATTCACTTGTCTGTGACATCGGACAAGAACGGTTAGAATATTTCGCGGACTGCATAATTCAGTAAAGAAAAGAAGATTAAACATACAGAATTTAATTTTTCTATATAAAATATAAAATAAATAATACATAAAAATTATACCACAAATACATATAAAAAAACAATTCGGAATTATAGTTTTAGTCTAATTTTATGAATCAAAAATATAAAACAAATATAAAATAATATACACTTAGTTATTTTTAATTTGTTTCAATTATTTAAAATTGAAAATTAAGTAAAAGAAAAATATCCATTATATAGATATCGTATAGATTTTCCGAGAAACGGTGCGTTACTGATTTTTGAGATAACGGTACTATATCGATCATGATTAATCATTGCGTACACCGATAATGTTGTAGGTTGATTTAGATAGACGTTTCCCAATCTCCTGTCATCCTATCAAGCAATAATTTAACAGGAAAGTATCACACTTTATTCCAGACTCTTTTAAAAATGTAGAATGTAAAAGTTAAAACGCAAAAAGCAATTAAATATTGTTCAATAATATTTGTAAATCATTTAATACATTTTGCAAATGGATAATGCAATATCATTAAAATTACGAGTTGAAATGTCTTCTAATAAATGTGCATTCGCTTAATTAAGAAGTTGAGTACAATGACGATTTAATTCACCTTTTTAATGAAATTAATTTTATAGTTGAGAAAAGTAAATATAAATTTTCTTAAATGAATAAAAAAGTAGATTAAACCACTCTTCTATTATAAGATATGACTATTAATTACATCAGATAACTTTTCACAAAAATGTTTCAAAACTCATTGATTTGTTTTTGAATTAATCAAATTATAATTTTAAAATATTACAAAAAATATAAAAGTTAAAAAAACAAAAAATATGATTTTGGCACCAAAGTAAAATTAATGCTTTACACTGAATGAATTGAAATTTATTATAACGTGCCATTTATAATTGACAAAAATTAATCTCTTTCCTTCTAACCAATATGTATTCAAATATACATGTATGCAAATAAATTCATTTATTATTATTACATATGCTCATAAATCAAGTGAGTCGCAGTCAAAACTATATAAAAAAAAATTATTCAAATTTTATATCTTGCTGTGTATGTCATAATGTCATCTTGCAGAATCTGATTTTACGTCTGACAAAATACATTTTCAGCATCTTTTGCTCATATACAAATCTAACCATGATTGATTAAGCCGACTAATAAAAAAGCACCGAGGCATCGGGGAATCGCGTTACACACCTGTCCGGCATGCAAGAGTGCTCCGTGCCACTTGTTGCATGGCCGCGCACTCGGCAATCGCATTCAAATAAAATTGCTCGCGAAGTAGAGCACGCGCGGTGCTGCTTTCAGAGAAGTTTACTTACCAAGACGGTCGGATGGATCCTCGTTCCCCTGGGTCACCGAATCCGGCAGAATTGACTGTCCATGCACAGACACAGCACCGGTCACCGCACTTGACACCACAATCGAGTCGCGCGATTCGGCCATTTTCAGGTTAACTCTCACTCGCGTTGTTAATCCGCACGACGCGGTACAACGGGCACTTACCTCGTTGGCAGGCCGCGCATTCGAATCCGTACCTCTTTTCGAAACTTCCACACACGTCCGGACCGTAACGTTGTTGACGTGCCGACGTCACGTCAGATGGTAGCATCGCCGCGATACGCGTCTGTCCGACATTTCCGACATCTTGCGGGCAGATTCGCGCGGGAACATTATCACAACAAGTTGATAAAATTTGACGGATTATGACACATTATGACGATTCGACAATCGATCGTACTAGCGCATGAATTAAATTGCCCATAAAATGATACAAACACGAAAGTATAATATAAGCACAGAATATTAAAACGTTGGCTTCAGTAAATATATTTACGCTATTTTACATTGCATCATTTCGGAGTTTCCGAAACGACGTAGACACTGATGAATAGTGAAAAACACGTTCAATCGCATTCGCATTAACCAATTCATACAGTTAAAGAATTGCCCGTCAATGAATTTGGCACTCCCGATACTTATTTGCATGCAAGATTCGCTTTTGTCAGATATAAAAACATGATAAACACGGAGCGGACAAGAAATGGTTGCGAACTACAAAGTGATAATCGTAAAACTGTCGTGAAGTTGCTGCGAAATAATACGAATATGTAATATTGTAAATTGATCAAATAATCATAAACTATTAAATCCCGGTAAGAAAAATGTTAACAATGTTAGCAGATTTGTTTAATTTGTTTGTTAATTATGATAAATTTGTTTAAATTTATGTGATATATCAATAAAATACTAGATATTGAGAAATTCACAAATCAAACATATAACTCCCTCTATACGTAAAAGTTGCAAACGTATTATCTACTGCAACTACTGCTTTATCGATACATTAATATATTGATAAAACAGTAACTGCAGTGGATAATGTACCAAAAATATTTATGTTAGTAGTGCAGTTGCATCGATGTTTGATGATGCCGGCCGTCGCATCCAACGTCGCTGCAATTAGCTATATATATTTTGACAAACTTGAAGCAGAACTCTAGCAAAATTCCAAAAAATGGCCTTAGTTGATCATATACAATACTCAACACATTACGATGAATGTTATGAAATATATATCTCACTGTGCATTTAATATGTATATTGTTATACAATATTTACTCAACACTAGCAACAATTCATGCATGAAGTGCACTTTTGGAGCCATGGAAATGTAGAGATAACGACGAATCATGGCAATGTCTTCCGCAATCAGAGTTCAAAATATTACAATTGCGATACAACACGCGACACTTGATATACTATGACGAACATACAATATTACTCAATAATTCGAACAATTGTTCGCGCGCGATCGGTCGTCGAAAAGCGTCATACGGAGATATAAGATCTAATCACAAAAATCAACTCGTCATCGATTACGATTGAAAACAGAACGAATTGAAAACTGAATACCATAACACAGAATGATTAGGTTAGGTTAATAGCGATTAATGGCAGTTAGTGGCGATTAACGTGACATTCGTAAAAATATGCATGTAAAAATATATATGTTTTTGACATGTCGGAAACGTCGTGTTTATCTCTGACGTACCATAACAGAGTGAAAGAGCGACATTTTACCTGAACATCTTCGACAACTCTCCTCGCGATATTTATTCGGCGGATATTTAAGGGTCACACACGAATTAATAAATGCACGGCACTCTCGACGATAATGCACACGAAATTCACTTCGAGAGGGTTGAAATCGGAAAAAATATAAGACGTATATCTCACAAATACGAATTACCACGTACCAGTTCGCGACCCAGCTCACCAACGTTCATCTATCGATGCACTGATGCAATGAACCAATCACAGTGGTTGATTCAAATGTATATCGAACTGCTTGCGATTCTCGAAGCATTGGTGCGATCGATGCAATGTAAGCCAATCATAGTGCTTGATTTACCATTAGATTGTTTTAATTGGTTACGCTGCTTATATCGATCACTGTTATTGGCTCATACTGTATTGAGTGCTTAGATCATTTCGATAATCGCAAGCGGTTTCGTATACGACAGTTAACGGAATGGATCGCGCGGCAGTAGTTCGGATTCCGAGAAGCCGTTTCGTATTATCCGCGATTTTGGCTCACTCAAAGTGAGTCTTGCATCCGAATTATTGCCGGGAGTGTCGAAAGTATAGGCGCGCGTTTGTTAATGCTTAAATAGTCGTCGATCAGTGAATATCTCGCGAGGAGGCTTGTCGAGGATATCCGAATGAAGTGCTGCGATTTTGTTGAATTCAGTGACTACATAATGGCATTTCGGAATTCCACCCGCCGCGTTTTACGTCTTTAGTTCGCTAAACAAATGTCGCGTACGTTCTTGAGCAATGTCGTATGTTCTTCAAAGCGCGTTAAATGTCGCAATTAATCGGGTGTAATTGTGATATTTCGGTTCGCGAACAAAGGTGTGACCGAAATCGGAGTTATTTTATATTTTTGTTAGCTTCAAGTGAGCTTTGTGCGTGATATGTTGTGAGTTTGGAGCAAATTATATAAAAAAAGATATATAATAAAATATCTAGTGAAGTGTACAGTTAAATGTGTAGTGCATTCATCGCAATATGCATTCGTGGAAATCGCTGTGCTCCGTTTAACTTTCAACCCTGGAAATGCCTGGAGATGAATTCGGTAGCTGATTGCAGCAACGCTGGACGCCCCGGCCAGCCGTTGAACATCGATGCAGCAGAGCTGAACTGGTAAGTGCTTTCTATATACTTAGTGTAGATAATATGAAATCTGCAATAGATAACTGCAGATGTATTGATGCGTCTAAAAGTTTTACGTGTAGAGGGAGTTACATGATTGATTCAAAAATTCAATCAAATATATAATAGGTTATAAGAGGATGCTGGAGTGCCTGACGAACTCCGACGCGAAAGCGCCATCATTTCGATGGAACTAAAAATTAGAGTGATATTATCGGCATAATGGCTGGTTTATGCTTCGATCTTAATCTTAATCTTATAGCGTTTTCGATTATACAGGATTTGAACGACCCAGGGTTGATCAATCACTATTTTACTATAAATGCAAGTCTTTCATTGGTGGAGAGGTTGCAATGACGTCATTAACCAACCCTGGGTCGTTCAAATCCTGTATAATCGAAA